AGCTCCACATGCTTATCAACATTCTTGCTACCTTCAACAATAGTAACCTTCAACATGAGGTTAAACATATAATTCTCATCAAATATCACATTTCTACTGAGTATAACTCAATGCTCAGAAGGTGACCAGACTCGAAATCCCTTAACTCCATCTCCGTAACCCACAAATACGCCCTTCTTTGCCCTTGGGTTCAGCTTACCCTCATCCACATGATAATAAACAGGACACCCAAAAACTTTCAGTGAAGAGTAATCATCAGGCTTACCATACCACACTTCATAAGGAGTCTTACACTCGATACCTGTGTGAGGTCCACGGTTGATCAGGAAGCACACCATGTTCACTGCTTCTGCCCAGAATCTTCTCTCTAGCCCAGCATTAGAGAGCATGTATTGTGCTTTCTGCAACAATGTCTGGTTCATCCTTTCTGCAACGCCATTCTGCAGGGGTGTATCTCTAATGGCCCGATGATGGGCAATCCCTTCATCCCTGCAGAATTAGTTGAACTCAGAATTGCAGAACTCCAGACCATTGTCCGTTCGCAGCTTCTTGATCTTCTTTCCGGTCTGATTCTCCACCAATGTCTTCCACTACTTAAACTTCGTGAAAGCCTCACTTTTCTGCTTCATCATGAAAATCCAAGTAAATCTTGAATAATCATCAATTATAGACAGAGAATACCTGTTGCTTTCAATGGATTCAACTCGTGAAGGACCCGGACAGTTGGAGTGGAGGTAATCCAGTATCCCCTTCATCCGGTGGATACCCTTCTTGGGAAACTTGCTGCGATGTAGCTTCCCAAACACACAATGCTCACAGAGTTCCAAATTCTGCACCTTGTGTCCGCAAAGAAGATCCCTCTTCGATAGAACTTGCATCCCTCGTTCACTCATATGCCCCAGTCTCATGTGTCAGAGAGTGGGTATATCTTCCTGATGAACCTGAGATGATGCAACTGCAGCAGAACCAGACAACACAGACCCTTGTAATGCATACAAGGTCCCACACTTCACGCCCTTCAGCACCTTCCTTGAACCTTTGCAGACATACACAACTTCACCTTTTCCTTTGAAGTTGAAACCCTTGCTGTCGAGTAGACTCAAGGAGATCGGGTTCTTTGTCATTCGTGGATCATGTCTGACATCTTTCACGATATAGAACGAACCATCATGTGGTCGAACCTTTATGGACCCGATTCCAACAACCTTGCAGACAACTCCATTTGCCATGACCACGTTACCACCATCTATCTGCTCGTAGGTTGTGAAGCAATCTCTGTTCGGAGACATATGGTATGAGGTTGCAGTATCCAGAAATCACACATCCCCACGATGTGCCTTCTCATCTACAGGCAACGCGAGATCGTCTTCAGAACTGTTGTTCACTTCTGCCACGACAACTAAACCTTGTTTCTTCGGTTGCCCTCTTCTCCTGGGACAGTTGTACTTCCAACACCCCACTTCCTTACAGTTGTGACAAGCATCACCTGGCTGTGGACTGGGACACTTGGAATTCTTGTTCGAATTCCCTTTACCAGATTTCTTCTTTCCCTTTCCACTTATAACAGCCAAACCCGATGCCTCACCACCTGTACCAGCTCCGGACGCCTTATGTCTGATCTCTCTCGTATGAAGAGCAGACCTGACATCCTCCAACGACACGCTTTCTTTACCGACAATAAAAGAATCAACGAAATTCTCATATGAACTCGGCAAAGAAACCAGCGAGACCCCCGACTAATCCAGTCATAGCGGCTGATAGTCAGATTCAAGTCATATCAACAATATCATCGAAAGAACTGTTTATCCTTTCTCATTTTTGTTAGGTATATGTATGATGTGGGCCAAATCAAACTTTTCTATTAACTCCAAATTTGTTATGTTTGTGTGAACATGTACATTTTTTAGATCCTTTTCGCGAATTTTTTTATAGAAATATCCATTTCCAAAGGGCATAATAACTTTTCATCATTCCTATCTAGAATCAAACAAACCAAAAGCCATAGAAACCCTGTATATCATGTTTGTTAATGCTTCAAAACGTATCCTCAAATCACACTTTAAGATTCATTATTAGGGTGGTATGAAAGGTGGTCAGTGGCCAGTCCTTTTGAGTAAATATCTCACAAAAAGGTTAGGTTGGACCTTTAATGGGACACCAAAGACTTTCCAATGAATAAAATGCAATGGCTTTTAAAAATTATCTCCACATTATCCCTTTGATTAAACAGTTTTATTTGCTCCCCTTAATGATAGCATATCGTCCACAAACTATGCAATAGTAATCATATGATTGTTCTCCCTCTTTGTACTGGGACAAGTGGATGAATCAAGGATCATACCGTTATTGTAACCTTAATTAATAAACAAAAAATGCGTATCATTCTACCTTATAGTAAACCAAAAAACTAAAAGATCAGATAGGTGGTGGAATAATATTGTCACCCTGCGTACCTCCAATTAGGCAATAATGGCTGCTGAAAAGTGATATTAGTGGAGGTGTTAATTGGCTATACTGATCGGTAATGGCGATTGATTCTACAATGCATACCCCACCGTCAATCTATATAATGATTGACACGCAGATACGATATACATGTTAAGTATCTAAATGTGAGAAGTATTATGTATGAGTTACGTTGTTGCGATAACAGATATTACATTAGAGTTAAAGAAGATGCAAATTCAAATAACTGATATAGATTAAATTAAATAATATAAACCATCAAACACCGTATATGATAGAGTTCTTACTTTTACTTTGTGTTTGTATGTTCTTTATATAAAACAAGGGGCATTGTCATTTGGCGCAAATGTTCCGACTTTTTTCAGGTATGTGCAAATTGCAATGCCTGATAAACTATGAGACAAATCCAAAATGATCATTTGTTTGACTCGATATACCAAGAACCTTAAATAAACTTAATTATGTGAATTTCATCATATATAATACGTAAATGTGATGTGTAAGAACGGATTTCAGAAGGATAAAAACAATAATAGAGTTGCTCACCTAATAGCTAAAAGTATTAAGTTAATAAGTTCTATCACAGTCAATAATCACACGAAATATAAATTACTGCAATTCCACTTTTCAAATTCTTCCCACCGTCTAATTTTACAGTATGCGACTTGTAAGTTGTAACAGTGAGAAAATAAACAGGTACGAGTTACCACCGTGAGAAAAAAAGGAGTGAATTAAGTCCACAAGGCTACATAGAACAGTTTTAGTCTTTTAGACATAGTTGGCTTGTCGAGTAAACTATCAATAAGGATCAGAGTGGCGCAGCACAAGCGTGGTGGGCCCATAACCAACAGGTCCTTGGATCGAAATCAGGCTGTGATATGTTTTTTGGACATTTCATATCTATTCATTTCAGCAGAATTTTATGGCAAAGGTATCATGTTTCAGTCAAGCACAGCTCTCACGGGTTTGAACTTGAAGGAAATCCAAAAGTGAACGGCAACAGCAGTGATTCTGTAGCAAGATTGGCAGGTATAGACTGTTGTTATCATCTTCTCGATGTTAAACCATCTACAAGAACTGGAGAAAGCAATCACCATCATGCAGTTGCCATCATCGACAGTGTCTATCTTCCATGTTTGTGGACAAGGCAAAAAGAGTGCCGTTGGATTTCCAGTGTACTTTGCTGCTCTTCCTGTGTTACAGCATTCAACCTCGTATCATTGTTTTCTCAGTTCCAAATCGCAGTGGGTCATAAATGAAAAGAGCAGCAGCATACGCAATCATGATCGAGAAGACAGTTGAATCAGTTATGAGTAATGACCAAATCTAGCACGACTGGAAGAGAATACACACAGAATATGAACTGCCTTCTGAAGGCGATCAAGTGGGAAGGATGACCCTATGAAATTAAACCAACATCACTAGCCTGGAATTTTGAGATCCTATCTAGCCAATCTTGGGCTTCACTGCCTTTCTTGGTCCCAACCTACGAGTGGGCTGAAGCCCAAATATCTGATAATGCAGGCCCAAATAGACTTCCTTTCTTCCTTCCCAGTTCCCATACTACTCCAATGCCAACATTTGGAATTCAGAGTTTCAGACTGGAAAAAGGAATCTGGTACGAATAACTCGACTGTTGTCACTGCAGCACTTGATTCAAACTGGTACTCAACGATTCATTATGCAAGAGAAGAGAGCATGCATTCTCCCAATAGGTCATTCATTTTGCAGAACAAGACAAACAAAACAATATACCAGATGCTCTCCAAATGAGTCAGAACAAGGCTCCGCAATGAAAGAAAAGAACACCAGAAGTTTTTCTATTCTAAGTCACATTAGATGACGTTTGTTTGGTTATAAAATGAGTAGTAAAAAAAAAAGTAGTTAAGAAAATCGTTATGTTGGTCCGATCTCCGATGACTATAATGAGTCAAGTAACACCCGAGCCAAATCATAATGCAGCGTATCAATAAATTTACAAAAATTGACCCACTAATAGAGGGTAAAAAATAAATAAATGTTAATTTAGTCATTTTAGATTAGACAGACCAGAGTTTGAATATGGTTAGTAGAATTGAATGGAGAACTTTTTTTTTGACGAATTGGATGGAGAACTTAACGGATGAGGCATGAGCATGTTTGAGAATGCTATTATATTAGAAGGAGAGATTTTATTTAAAATTTTCTATACTAGCATGTTTGAGAAAAATACATAATAAGAGTGGTATATTATACTTATAACGCTTGTACTAAATCACCTAGCAATCAAATCATAACAGATAGATATATCTACTTATTATTTATATACCAATTCAATCCTGATGAGGTTTTGAACGAATTTAGATTGGGTTAAATATGGTCACTTCCAAGGAAAACAAAGGCATTAAATACCATAAACTTGACTGTTCACAACCGAAAGAGGTGTGGGCATGGAGAACACACATCATCGTCGGATTGAACCCAATTTGCCTGACCCGCGAAAGCAAACACCAAATTCAGGACGTCCACTAATAACAACTTGCTGTCCTCGTCGTATTTCACACAAATATCTATCCAGCGGTGGAATAAGTTGCAGCCAAGCTCAGAGTGGAAAACAGAGCAAAGAACAGAGCCAAGATGCAGAAGCAGCTACCAATCAACACCACAATTCTCGTCTTCCTCTGCTCCTTCATCGTCATCTCAAACGCCCAGTCGTTGCCGCCGGCCTGGGCCGATGGGTTCGTATACGAAAACGGGCCGGTGGATCCGAACCCAATTGTGATCGAGGCGTTCTTCGACCCGGTTTGCTCCGACAGCAGAGACTCGTGGGCGCCTCTCAAGCTAGCTTTGACCCACTACGGATCTCGCGTCTCCTTGCTCCTTCACCTGCTCCCTTTACCGTCAGTAAAATTGTTGATTGGAAGTAGTTGAGAGAAGTGGTTTCGATCTTGTTGATTTCTATGAAAAACAGAGTGTTTTTTTGTTTTTGTTTGTGGCAACAGGTACCATGACAACGCATATGTTGCTTCTCGAGCTCTGCATATCGCAAACATGCTCAATTCTTCATCCACATTCCCTTTGCTCGAGCAATTCTTCAAGTATCAGGTGAGAAATTTTAACGAGTTCTTGAAATGGTACATATGAAAATAACTTGAGTTAGCAAAGGAAGACTAGAATTGCTGTGTTGATAGGTAGTTGATGTTAGTAACTAGTACAAAATTCATTTTTTAGTCTTTCTCAACATTCCGAATTATAAAGGTTAATTGCTTTTTGACATTGTATTACAGCCTTTTGTGACTTAGTAATCTGCTGTTTGAATCCCCGTAACCCTTATTAGTAAACACATGATGTCAGATGCATGCTTGTGCAAAATTTAAGTATATATGAGAAATTGTAACGAGTTCATAAAATGGTACATATGAAAATAACTCAAGCTGACAAAGGAAGGCTAGAATTGTTGTGTTGATAGCATGTACGGTTAGTATGTAATATAAGATCGATTATTGAGTTTTCTCAACAGCTCAAATTATTGGGATTAATTGGTTTTTGACATGATATCAGAGTTTAGTCTTTAGTTTGAATCCCGGTAATCCTCGTAGGTAAGCACATGATGTCTGATAGCTGTGCAAATTTCAAGTCTATATGAATGAATTTCGTTTGAATGAGCGTGTTAGCATGTGAAATAAAATTCATTATTGAACATCTCCCGACAAATCGAGTTATTGAGCTCGCTGCAGCTTTGATTTTGTTCCAGTGACCGGATAGAATGAAACTTAATTTCATTTTTACACGGCTATTCTGGGTGTGGGGGGAAATTTCAGGACAAGTTCTATAATGACCAAACGAAGAACCTGTCGAAAGCTTCCATTGAGAAAGAGGTGATTGAAATTGCAGCTGTGGCTGTTGGGAACTCCCTGCAAGCTCAGTTCCAAGCTGCATTCAGCGACACAAGAACCGATCTCAAGACAAGGGTGTCCTTTAAGGTGAAAATTCTTTTTCTCTGAGCCACAAATCCTGTAAAAAAAAAAAAACTCTTTGTTCGTGTGTGTCAGCTTGTTGATGTTCATTTTCTGTTTGCAGTTCAGCACGTCGAGAGGTATTTATGGAACTCCGGCTTTCATAGTAAATGGGTTTGTGTTGCCTGGCGTTGGCTCTCCCATGGACTACAATGGCTGGCGAAAGATCATCGACCCACTGGTCGCCGCGGAGAAGGTTGAGGGCGACGAATTTGATTCGAAGAAGTTTGGGAGAAGTGTTTATTTGTATAAATGAATCTGCTACTGAAGTACAATAGTGCTGTAGAATTATAAAATAGGAAAGCTCAGTTATGGCCTATGGATCTCTCGGTTATGAAGAAAAGAAGATGTTATCTCCCGTATTTATCTATAGCAACAATAACTCAAGGGGGACGCGGCTCGACCAGATGAAAAATACACAAATATAGCCATGTTTTTAAAACTTTATTGTCAAATTTAGCCATTTTCGTTACAAATTTTGACGGCGTTAAAGATGCCGTCAGTAATGTGGACGTGGACTCTCTCTAATTGACATGTCATCAACAACATGTTGAGATGGATGCCACCTCACCATCCACATCAACTGTCAATTGCCATGTCAGATTAAATTTTTATTGATTTTAGAGATTATTTATAAAACATAATTAATAGTTTTTTATTAATTATGAAACAAAAATCCAATTATACTTTGTCTTCAGTTGCTTGCCGCCGCTGCTTGACGATGTACCGCTGCCGCCCTCTTCGTTACTGGCAGGCCATCGCGACCCACCGGAACAACGCGGTGAATCATCGGCCCATAGAGCCTCTTCTCATGACTTTGAATCTCGATTCTCTCCTCTTTTTCATGAAATCGGATAAACAAACACCACCAACACCAGATGCTGGTCCCTGCGCGAATGGGTCTCCGCGGCCAACTCCTCGCGTCGGATCGCGCATCTTTCCCGACACAACAGACAACGATGAACTGAGGAAGAAATAGGCTTCGTAATTAAGGAAATCGAGACAAAAGGGACTAGGTTTGAGAAGGCTTCGTCGGGAGATGCTTTGTCTCCTCGGGCTATTACAACTTTCCAGATCTCGTAACACCAGAGCTCAGAACTCTGCCTGCTTCAATGGCGGTTCCCAAAATTGATTTCGATTCAGAGCTTAGAGTTCTCCCTCTTTCTCACCTCGCCATACCAAAGCCACAAAACCCAAAAGAATCCATTCCATAGAAATTTGATTCTGACCTAGAAACCTCACTATTTCTCCCTTCTCCCTCTCGTACTCTTCTTCCTCTCTCCACCTTCCACTACCCAGTCGTAACGGCGGCTAAAGACGAAGGAAATTCAATTGACGAACTCAGGTTGTTCTCCCCATGGTCGGGATTTGAAATCGGTAGCGACGGAACCCAGGAAGTTTCGATCCCGCTGGCCGCTGCTACATGTGAGAAGGAATCCCAATCGTTGGCAGCGATTCTTCTTCAACCTCTATTGGGGAGCAAGGAAGCAAGGCTATTCTTCTTCAATTGCTCTGCTCCATCTACTCATCCTTGCTCTCTTCGACGACTCTACTTAGGAGAAGGAAATTGAAGACGGAAAGGGAATGAAGTCGGAGATGACGAGCAATGGAAGAGGAAAAGACAACTTTCCATGTTTTGTTTTTTTGTTTTTCCATTAATTATAATAATATTAAAAGTTCTAATTCCATCTGTCATTGGGTTTGACAAAAAAAAAGTGCCACGTCATCAAACAGTATTAGTCCAGTCAGATCAGTAAAGTTGCTATTAAACTTTTGGACGGAATGGCTATATCTGTGTATTTCTCAAAATTTGACTATGTTTGTCACAAAGTGGATAATTATGGCTATGGAGATGTATTAAGCCTTAAATATATTGTACCAACATAATAGGTAATTCATTTCGTCAGAAAAAAAATTATAATATGTAATTCTTTTATACATGTCAAAAATTATAGTTAGAGAAAAATCAAATTACCTTATATGAAACTTTTTTTTTGGATTCAACTGACCGAGCTCAAAACTGGTATAACTAGCATAAACCCGCTCGCTATCGTTTCGCGTTGAGCGAGAACATGATATTTTAAAGATTGATAGTTTGAATTTTGACTGAAAAATAGAGAGCTAGTCATCTACAACTCCATGCAGTCGACACCTCGATGAACTTTAATAAGTGAGAAGGGTTATCAACAAGCAAATGATTTTTATATTTAATCTTGCCTCTAGTTTGTATACTTTTTGCTTTGTTTTTCTTTTAAGTTCATCTTGATTCTCCTTTTTATGGATTTTCGAGATTGATCACAGGTTTGAGGAGGTTCAATTCATTTTAGCCGGGTCGAATTAGGTTGAATACCCATGAGTTTGGGTTCAATTTCATTCTCAACAAAAAAGGAGAAATTAACAAACACTAAAGCGGATAAAACTCGTTCACAACCCAAAATTCCGCAACATCATGTTCAACTCTCTTTGATCAGCTTGAACCGAGTTTGTAACAAATTCATCACCGACCCGACCCGCAAATTACAAAAGAAAATAAAACTCACTCCGGCTCGAAAAACTTATAAACACCGGGTTCAAGTCGTTTTGATCAAGTTGAATTAGCTAGCGTGGATACCCATAGGTATGGGTTTCAACCAAAAGGGAAAAGATAAATAAAAAGGACTAAAGCGGATAAACTCGCTTCCTACCAAAAACTATACACACCGAGTTGAACTCGCATTGACTGGTTCGAACCGAGTTTTAACAATACACACTCGGTTCGACATGTCAATTCTAAAATAAGTTAAAACTCACTTTGTATACAAAACTCGTCAGCACCGGGTCCGAGTTCAATTGTCATTCTCAACCAAAAGGAAAATGAGAAATAAAAATATTAAAGAAAATAAAACTCGCTCTCGATAAAAAAAACTCGTCAACACCGTGTTCAGCTCGTTTTGACCGGGTCGAAGCGAGTTTTTAACAAATTCACACTCGATCTAACCTACCAACTACAAAATCATATAAAACTCGCTCTCGATACAAAACTCGTCAGTACCGTGGGTTTGAGTTCAATTATCATTCTCAAGGAAAGGAAACAATAGAAATTTAAAAATACTAAAATCGAGTTCAAAGTGGATTTGACTTGGACGTATTATGTTGGATACCCATGAGTTTTAGTTCAATTGTCATGCTTAACCAAATGGAAAAAAGAGATAAGAAAATACTAAAGAATATGAAACTGAGTCTCGATACCAAATTTGGCAACACAAAGCACATTTGGTATGAATTTTTTATAGCAGTCTTGAGACACGGTGGATGGGTACAACTTAGGATTCCACCAAAAGTGTTTGGAGAAGGGTTGTGCATTATTGGGCAAATGCGAGGATTGTGTATAATAGATAAGGTATGGATCTTCGTTGGCAGTCGTGGCAAATGGTGGAAGAGGAGAACTTATAATTTCGTCGATAGTGTTTCGAGATGGGCAATTGTTGCAACAGAGAAAACAATGAACAATAGATGAAAACTTAGTCGTAATAGATGTAGACCCGACGGACAGTAGATAAACACACAGGTAATAGAATAAGAGAGTGGGGTAAAAGAATAATTTGAAACTTTTCCACTTATACTTGAAGGAGTTTGGGAGCCGCTAATGAATATTAACTCCAATGTTAGGCTTTTATATATTAAGTAATATATTAATATTAATTAATTAATAGTATGTGAAGAGATTCTTTGAGTTGGATATTTGCAATGAGTTTGAATTTTTTTATTGAAGTTCGAAATTTGAACTCAAAGTTATTGCAGATGTTTTTTTTTCTTTAGTAGGTGTTTATTATTTACATCCAAAAAAAACACCAAAAAGCCAATAAATCATAGTTGTGTCATCTTTTTGAACGTTTATAGCTACTGTGTTGTTCAATATATTTTGAGATGATAAATCACTAATTGACTATAGTCTAAAGGTGGACACATCAACTCAGAAACGAGAAATTTGTCTAATTATTTTTTATAAATAAATTATTTAATAATGAGTCAATTCAAATTATTTATTCAATCACAAACATTTGGAATTGACTAAATGTCAAAATAAATAAATTCAAAATTTCTCAAATCAAATTGATCTATTCAAAATTTTTACTAAACATAAGTCAATTAGATCTAATTATCTCAAATTGTACATTGTCTACCTATTAGCGCTCCGTTTTTCCCGGAGCTGAGCAAGGAAAAAGCGCAAACCCTAGCGGCGGAATTCCGCCGACATGGCCTGCTCTGTGCCGGATAACACCACCTCCGGCGACCCAACAGCCGGATCCCAGTGCGGGTCAACGACGTCCTCCCACCGCGTCGTCGTCCCCAAACAGCAAAGGTGAGAAAGAGACCCAGCAGCCGAAGAAGAAAGTGAGACCCATGAGCGTCAATCCGCGCTTTGAAACGCAACCGATGACGGAGGACCAACCAGATATGCAAATCCCCAACGGGAAAGAGAACACAACAAGTAATGGCGAAGAGAAGGAAGCGAACCCCTAGTCAACGGCCGGAGGAAATGGAGCACGGAAACTTTTCTCGACGGTCGTCGCTGAGGACGAGTGGTACATAGCGGAGTCCGACTCGGAGGATGATGCGGAGGCAATGAGAGAGGATGACCTGGACGATGAAATTCCGGAGGATGACGACCGGACGTGCCCAACGATCCCTTTCAAGGCCCTGGAGAAACAAAGGTATCGCAGGACCTGGCGCTCGGCACTCATCATCAAAGTACTGGGTCGCACGTTCCCTTTCCCAATAGTGTCAAAACGGCTGGAAGCGTTCTGGGCTAAGACGGGCAACATACAGATTTCTAGCTTATCATATGGTTTTTATGTTGTTCGTTTTAAGAACGAGATGGACTATGTTTACGCGGCCATGGGAGGCCCGTGGATGATCGGTAATCATTACATCACGGTGCGGCCATGGAGGAAGGGCTTCGACCCCAAGTCCGCAGAGGTAGCTACAACTCTTGTTTGGGCTCGTCTCCCGGAGCTGCCGATCGAGTTCATCAACCGAGAGGCCGTGGAAAGAATAGCAACGAGGATTGGACGTCCAGTTCGTGTTGACCGAGCAACGACGTCGGGTGCTAGAACTAAGTTTGGGCGAGTTTGTGTAGAGGTTGACCTTACTAAACCCCTTTTGGGACAATATGAAATTGAGGGAAAGACGTACTATGTGGAATATGAGGGGCTTCACAACATTTGCACTGAGTGTGGAGTCTATGGTCACTCGAAAACCAGCTGCCCGACGTTGAGGAAAGCAACCCCGGAGACGCCGGAACCACCACCTTCCGCAACCCCACCCGCTGACCAACAGAAGAAAGCATATGGGGAATGGATGATGGTGAAACCGAAGAACAAACAATCCAGGGCAAAGAGGATGCATGGCAGGGATCAACCGTCCTCAAACTTGCATGGGAACAGTGGCATGCAGCAGACGGGTTCCAGGTTTACAACCCTGGAAGTCGAAGACTCGACACCAATGGAGGAGGAGGAGGAAACAGATGGGGTACAGCCTCACGTCACTCCCCTTGCTCCGGTTACAACACCTGAGCAGCAATCCCAACCAGCTAACACCATGTCAGCCTGCGCCCCACCAGGTCCTTCGAGTGGTCAAGCAGTTGTGGACAGGGTCTCGTCCGTTATAGAGCCGGCTTCTCTTGGGACTGGTGCTCATCCGAAGCAAGGAGGCCCACTCAAGGGCTTGGTGGAAGTCCCCGTTCAGCAAGCGGTACAGGTCGGAAGCAAAGGAGTGGAATTCCATAACTTCAACTTGTTGGCGGGAAAAGGATCAATGAAGAAAGGGGGGAATAATTAAACCCCAACTCAGCTTAAGGGCTCTACCAACGAACGAGGAACTCCCTCCCTTCAGGGACGCAATTCCGAGAGTAAACCCCGAAGTACTACTACTAGTACCTCTGAGAAGATAAAGGTGGGAGGGAAGCCTCCTACGAGTCTGGTGACGTCATAACCGGGCTTGGCCCGACCCCAGGGGAGTCTCCTCCTCTTGTTCGTTGTGTTTTCCCCCCTCTTATTTGTGTCATTACGTTAAACATTTTCTCATGGAACTGCCAGGGGGCAGGAAGTGACCAGTTTCTTGTTTATCTGCGTAATTTTTGTGCCTCTTCAAGGCCGGATTTGGTGATAATTGTAGAACCACGTATTAGTGGGGATACAGCTAGCGAAGTAATCCGTAAAACGGGCTACGATGGGAAGCTAATTATGGATGCGGTTGGGTTTTCAGGTGGCATATGGGTGTTGTGGCATCGCCATATTGTTCAAGTGACGGAGATAACCCAATGGGAGCAGATGATCCACTTCACTTGTACCAGGCATGGCATGAGAGGTGAGGTGGCGGTGTCGGCAATTTGTGGCAGCCCTAACACTGCTCTTCGACAAAATTTGTGGGAGGAGACCGGTCGCCTCGCCAGTGGGATGTCTCTACCTTGGGTTCTTATTTGAGACTTTAACTCCATTCTGGGGCCGGCGGATAGGTGTGGAGGGGTTCCCTATCAGGAAGCTCAAACGAGACCTTTCAGGAGATGTGTTGACACAAATGGCTTGTTTGATATTAACTTCACAGGCCGACGATTTACCTAGCGTCGAGGAAATCTCCGGCAACACCTCGACAGAGCTCTCTGCAATAAGATTTGGATGACAAGGTTCCCACAGACGGCAATGAGACATCTCGAAATGGTAGGCTCGGACCATAGGCCGATTCTCTTGATGGGAGATATGTGAGCTACCAACTCGGGGCCCAAACCATTTCGATTTCTCGCGGCCTGGTTAACTCATGAGGATTTTGGTCGAGTTCTTGAGGATCACTGGCCTCGAGGAGAGAATTTTCGCCAGTCGACTAGCGTCCTAACCGACGAGCTACAAAACTGGAATAAGTTGACTTTCGGTAACATCCTCCGACGAAAACGTCTACTTGTACGGAGGCTAATGAAGTTGGAAGAAGATAATGAGCGGGGAGGCACCCCTCAGTTACAGGAAATGGAGAAGGAAGTTCGCTAGGAACTTGAATCCACCCTTTGGCAAGAATATCTACTTTGGTTTCAAAAATCCAGGGCGCAATGGGTAGCAAAGGGTGATAAGAACACCCAGTATTATCACCTCTCGACGCTGAAGAGGAGGAGCTTTAATCGGATCCGCGGCCTAAAGGACGAACAGGGGAAGTGGGTTTTTGAAGAAGCAGATCTGTGCAGGATGGCCAGGGACTTCTATGCCACTCTTTTCCTGACTGAGTTTGGCCCGGCTCCCGAGCTCCCAGCGAAGTTCACAGCAATCGAGGCGGACGCGGGGGAATGCTTCCAGTCAGAAATCACACGGGAGGAAGTCTGGGCAGCAATTAAAAGTATGGGGGGGGGGGTTCAAAGTGCCCGGGAAAGATGGGTATCCTCCGGTCTTCTATCAAAAGTGCTGGAGGGTGGTAGCCAATCATGTTTCCAAATTCGTTGTAGACATGTTTTCTGACCCTAGTATGATTGCAGGAGTTAATGAAACGTTGTTGGTGCTTATTCCCAAGAAGGAGAGCCAGAGAGTATTCCGCAATTCCGGCCTATAGGACTGTGCAATGTGATCTATAAAACTCTGACAAAGTGTTTGGTCCACGGGATTAAACCGTGGATGAGGGGCCTGGTTCATCCCACCCAGACCAGTTTTGTCACTGGGAGGCAGATATCCAGTAACATTGTCATCTTACAGGAGGTGGTGCATTCCATGAACCTTAAGAAGGGCAGGCGTGGTGCAATGGTCCTGAAAATAGACCTAGCAAAGGCTTACGACAGAGTGAGCTGGCGTTTCATCCAGGAGACCATTACCCTGGCGGGATTCCCGAACAAGCTATGCGAGGTCATCATGGGGTGCATCTCGTCGCCTTCCATGCAAGTCTTATGGAATGGGAAATGCACAGAATCTTTCACTCCGTCCCGTGGGCTCCGTCAGGGGTGTCCGCTCTCGCCGTACTTGTTCACGTTATGCATGGAGAGGCTAAGTCACACGATTCAGGCTGAAGTGGATTTAGGAAACTGGAGACCTTTCACGGTTGCACTAGGTGCTCCCCCTCTCTCACACCTGTTTTTTGCAGATGACTTGATTCTTTTTGCAGAAGCATCGGAGGCGCAAGGGGAAGTGGTCTTAGATTGCCTAGAGCGCTTCTGTCAGGCCTCTGGGCAGCAAGTGAGCAATGAGAAGTAGATCATGTTCTTCTCCAAAAACACAACCCGCACCACTAGTGCCGCGATCTCGAGGCGATTGGGGATTTCGCAAACGCAGGACTTGGGACGATACCTGGGAGTGCCGGTGTTGCATGGTAGAGTCACTAGAGAGACCTACAGGTATATTCTAGCTCGAATGGATAGTAAACTTGCAGGCTGGAAGGCCAAGAATTTATCCTTTGCAGGTCGAGTGACTCTGGCGGCGTCGGTTCTCAACACGCTGCCGACTTATGCCATGCAATCCACCTTGTTGCCTGTCTCCATCTGCGATGAAATTGACAAGAGGATTCGTAGTTTCATCTGGGGATCTGTTGGCGAGAGTAGGAAGATGCATTTGGTGCACTGGGAGGCAATCTGTCGGCCGAAAAAGGATGGTGGTTTGGGGCTAAGGAAAGCTTGTGAGCTTAACCTGGCTTTCTTGGCCAAACTTGCATGGATGTTTATGAAAAATCCTGAGGAGCTGTGGGTGCAGGTACTTCAAGCGAAGTACTTTAGACTGGTGGACGGTCAGCTAGTGGCCAAGAATGTGACTCGGGCATCTACTATTTGGAAGGGCATTCGTAAAGCTTGGCCTATCATGGCGGCAGGTACTCACATGTGCGTGAAGGATGGTGAGACAACATCCTTTTGGACTGACAGATGGCTCGATAGTGGGGAGTGCCTCATTGACCACATTGTGGAGGACGCGCCGCCCTTCGATCCGCAAACTGCAGTGGAAGACTTTGTCACTTCATAAGGTGAGTGGAACATTCCCTTCTTGCGCTCCTTGCTCCCTGAGGATTTGATTTTGCAGATACAGGGGATTCAACCTCCCATAGAGGGCTCAGGAACGGACGTAGCCACGTGGGGACCCGAGGGGGATGGCCGATTCCGCGTCCGATCGGCCTATGATCTTGCAGTTAACCACGAGCAGATGGAGAGGGAGTTCGATTGGCGCATCATCTGGAAATGGAGAGGGCCAGCGCGGGTTCAGCATTTCCTTTGGCTTGCAGTTCGAGAGAGGCTCCTCACCAATGGCGAACGGAGCCAGAGACATCTGACGGATCAGACGACGTGCACCTATTGTCACTCCCACACAGAAACAGTCTTACATGTGTTGCGAGACTGTAATTTTGCTAGGTTAACTTGGATGCGGCTACTCCAGGCTTCTGAATACCAGACTTTCTTCAGTTTGTCACTGCAGGAATGGATTGCGAAGTAACTAGCTGAAGAGGACAAGGGCTTGGCCTTCGACATCACTTGCTGGTCCCTATGGCGGACTAGGAATGACCGAGTTTTTGCAAACAAGGTCGTCTCAGTTGAAGTATTTCACCAGCGTGTCCTGGCTTGGTTAACTGTCGTGAGGAATGCCATGGACAAGGACATGATCGTTCATCATCCATGTCCGCCCGCTAGAACGGAGGAGCTGATCTCTTGGAAGCCTCCTCCTCCCGAGTGGGTTACTCTCAACTCTGATGGCTCCGTTCACCAGGATTCAGACTCTGCTGCAGCTGGGGGCCTGATCAGAGATCACTTAGGATACTGCATTGCAGCGTTCGCTTGTAACTTGGGGATCTGCTCGATCACCCAAGCGGAGTTGAGAGGCGCTGCGGAAGGGCTTCAACTGGCCTGGGATCTGGGTTTTCGTCGCGTGAGGGTGGAGTTGGATTCCAGATGCGCTGTCCACCTTCTCAGCAGCAACGCGCACCCGGATCATCAGCATAGTGCTATTACCGACCGTATTCAGGCGCTGTGTAAGCGTGATTGGGAGGTCGCCTTGTATCATGTTTATAGAGAGGGTAACAAGTGTGTTGATTACCTTGCTAGCCAAGGCCACTATTTGTCGCTAGGTGTCCATTCTTTTCCTGCCAGTGACCCCACTTTGATGTACTGGATCTTGTATGATGTCCAGGGGATTTCTGAGTCCCGTCTGGTTATGAATGAAAGCTAGGATGCCCCGCATCCATTTATCAAAAATAAAAGATCTAATTATCTCATAACTAAACAATTTAGCCAAATTAATTCCATTTTTCATCCAAATCACCTCTATGCAAAATTCATCACCTAATTGGCCTTCAAAACTTTCCTAAAGCCTTTAATAAAGTGATATCAGTATTATAAAAAATTTGTTTTATTTACCCTCTTCATACAAGCATAAAAAGTACCCTTACCAAAAAGATGAATGTATTTGGACACTCCAAAACCAATTTCGCCGCAAACCTATGTGAGAAGAACATGGAGAAGCTCAATCTCTCTGCTTTGGCCTTCCTCTGCATCTTCCTCTCGAGTTCTCCGAACTGGATTACGATTCAAGCCCAGAGTTTGCCTCCAGCCAAGTTCGATGGGTTCCTCTACAGCAGCGGCCGGGTCGACCCGGACGCCATTCTGATCGAAGCTTTCTTCGACCCAGTTTGCCCCGACAGCAGAGACTCCTGGCCTCCTCTCAAGCTAGCTCTCGATCACTACGGCCCTCGCGTCTCCCTCCGCCTCCATCTCCTCCCGTTGCCGTAAGTAATCATTTGATTTGAAGTTTTCTTTCCCAATTTTAGCTGAGGTTGCTGCTATGCCCACAAAGTGTTTGTTATAACTCCTCAAAGGGGTTTCAGGGCTTCTGAATTCTGGTTTTGGGTCCTCCGCAGGTACCATGACAATGCGTTTGTTGCTTCTCGAGCCCTGCATATCGCCAATTTGTTGAATGCTTCCTCAACGTTCCCGTTAATGGAGCAATTCTTCAAGTATCAGGTAAGGGGTAAAATAGTGCAATTTGTGGTGAAAGTTGGGAGTCTTTTTGCTTCCCTTGGAATTTGACCTCAATCCGTGCCTAGATGTTCTGTATATTTATGCTCGGCCAATGACAAAACTGACTCAATATTGTATTCAATCGGAAAATTGTTTCGCTTGTTGTCCTGAAATGTTTCTATCCAGAGCTGATGGCTCACTCAGCCTTTGCTGTTGGGTCTACAAGTTCAAGACTAGGAAAGAGTGTTGGCGTTGTCTTAATGCCCATTGGTGAATGTTTATATTGCTGTCTGATTTGGCTGCTTGAAACTCAGGAGAAGTTCTACAATGATCAGACGATCAACTTGTCGAAAGCTTCGGTTGTGAAACAGGTGGTCGATTTCGCTACTCCAGCAGTTGGGAACTTCCTTCACTCCGAATTCGAAACTGCGTTCAACGACAGAAGAACCGATCTCAAGACAAGGGTGTCCTTCAAGGTAAGCTCTCCGCCCTTTTTTTAAATCTCTTGTTCATCTTTAGGCAAGTCGTGCTCCGTCAAGGTCCTATCCGTAGATATAGGGTGAATACCCGAACATGGAGCTAGCTCCTACAAATGATGAATGCTTCTTTTGTTGTGTGCAGTTTAGCGCATCTAGAGGAGTTTACGGTACACCAGCTTTCTATATCAATGGGTTTGCGTTGCCCGATATCGGCTCTCCCCTTGATTACAACGGCTGGAGAAAGATCATCGACCCACTGGTTTCCGCAAAGTTCGACAGCCGCCTCGATCTGCTGCATACCAAATTCTGAGACCCTCCGAATTTGAGATGAGATGCTTAGGCCTCTGATGCTGTTATTTTAACTTGAATAAATCAATAGCAGCCTTAAGAGTTCATATCTTCCTGTAGAGATCAGAAGCTATCTTCTTTTCTGTCTGTTTATAAGCTAAAAGTTGTTGTGTTATATGAACTGACGTTGTGAAGAGATGAAATTTGTTGCCAGTTTGCTGCAGCTTTCGCTGTGTCGATGGAGCTAGTGTATTGTCTGTTTACCTTATTACGAACGCATCTACCAAGCCCAAGAAACCATCAATCACATCCTTCTCGTTGCGCAGAAGAGAGATCACTTCTACAACCCGTAGCCAGCAAAGCACAGAAACAGTTGACCGAATTTTGGCAAGATCGAATGAACATAAGGTCATACCCAGAAGAACTGAGTACAAGGATACAAGTGGGAGGAAAAGACACATGCTTTAGATCGCAGTTAACCTAAGAGTCGACCCAAAACAAGTTTGTTCAAAACACAAAGGGAAATAATGAACAATAAAAGAATGCTTACCGTAACAACTTAAAAAGGGAGATTGTTACAGAGTTATTTGTTCAACCACAATCTAAAACGACCTAAAACACAACAAATTTCAAGACTACAAAGGATTAGTCTAAACTGTGGTTACACATATATGGGAAGAAAATGTCCTAACAGTTAAACACAGAGAATCTCTAACTTGCCACCAAACCGGCAAACAAGCGCACGACAGAATCCCAAAATTTTGGAATGAACAAACAAAAAGAGGATAATAACGAGCTGATAAAAACATTGCCAGGAGAAGAAAACTGCGGAGACCAGAATCCCAGTTGAAGACCGTAACGTCTCATTATCATGCAGCTGCCTGGATTGCTGGTCCATTCGATCTACCTCCACCACGGCCCCTTCCACGGTATCCACCTCTCCCACGGCCACGCCCTGAGAAGGAACCACGAAGAAAAATAAGTGTGAAATCATTCGGACCGGACATTACAAAAGATAGTAGAATAAGGTTACCACGGGCTTGAGGAGGAGCATCATAGAAGCCACCATCTTCCTGTTGTGGTTCAGCAGGAGGAGGACCATTATAGGCACCTCTACCACGGCCGCGGAATCCGCCACGTCCTCTACCCCGACCCCTACCCCTGCCCCTGGAATAGCCTTGTTGGTCCCAACCACCATCTTCGTACTCACCAGACACATATCCATTCCCTGAAAAAGATTGGGACATAATTAATAAAAAAGCAATTCAATGAAATGGAAATGTCTCGAGATAAAATGCACAGTATAGAATAAGCATTAGGGTGTTTGGTACTACCTCTGCCCCTTGACCTTCCCCTGCCACCACGACCTCTCCCTCGGCCATTAGGAGATCCCTCTGCCCAAGAAATTCAGGTAAGAAAATAAGAGAGATAGAAACAGAAGAAGACTGGGAGGAAAATATGAGGCGGTCATACCTCCTCCTTCATATTCATAATCTGTTGAGGCTTTCACCTGGTCTTCAGGTAATGGGGGCTGATACCTGAATGGAACAGCAGCATGTAAGAATAGATAGATACGAGTAGTAGCAAAATATGCCAAAAATGGCTACTATTAGTCACTTGAGCAACGACCACACCTAGGAGAAGGATCATCAACAATAACCAGATGCAGTAAATTTTTTGCAACAATAGGAAACTGTTATAGCTTGGAGAAAAGCCAACCAAAGGCTGCAACATGTCCGAACAAACCAACCTGTCAACTGAACAATGCATCTAGTACCTAATCAGTAACCCCAGATCCTAAAACCTCTCAATTTAGATTCCAAAACAGTAGAGAGATGGCTATACAATATGAATGGATAGATAATTTTTGGAACCGGGCCTAAAAAGGGATACACATCACAAGTTTAAACCAAAAAACATTGTGATTTCCCAGCTACAATAAGCTCAAAATGAAAAGCATAAAAGGACTCACCAAACAGTTTGAAAAGATACATCACAGACAAAACATTCCTTTGATCATAATCAATTAAACTCACCCAACAGAAGCTGTATCCAATTCCTTCTTGGAGAGCGTTATTGTAATCATTGACACATGCCTTGTAGTCTCCAAACTGCATAAGAATACGGGGTTGGAGGTCAAAAACCAATAAGGTCATGGCAAAAAAAAAAAAAAAAACCAATTCATGTTTGGGAAAGTATGTCCTTACGGAAGAAGTCCTTCCTCGAGGGGCTCCCAAGTATCTGTTATATCAGTGGACCCAATTGATGTGATTTGATGAAGACCAACGATCCTCCTCTGAATTACAAGTACAAAACAAATGCCATCATTCTTTACTCCAACTTAGACAAGGCCATGCAACTTACCTTAGCAATTAGTGAACTCAAGAACTGAATAACAAACCTTGATAAGTTCCACTATGGTCACGGTCTTATTGATGGCCCTTCCCATTGCCTTGAATACAATTTCATCTGCACCTTTCTCCTGCAGAAGGCATTGAGCACTGTTATTTAAGTCCCTCTTCACGTAATTTGTCACAAAAGAGCCGATTCATATCATTCCCATATCGAAAAGCATCAGACAGGTGCTCACAAGGCTAAGTCGGCGCAGACTATTAATTAGTCAACAAATGTCATTTTGTCCACTAAACACAACTATTAAGCCTAACAATTGAAGCTTCCAAACAGCTAGGCACTAAACAACCTTGACTATGGCGCCGCAACCTGTACTCCCTAATTCTCAGTAATTGTTCCATAATACAAACTACTACACATTCAAATCCGAAAGGGCGGAACGCTTTCAAAACACGACGCAGAAGCAGAAAGCACAAACAGGCCAAACTTACACCGCACAACAGCCAAAAACAGAGCGGGAAAGCCAAACCAGAGACACTGGAAGAACAGACTGATGGTAAAAATTGGAGAAGCGTAAACGGCGAATCCATACTTGAAGCAGGCTCATGGCGTAGGAGATATAGCTGCGCATCCTTCCCTGGCTAGTAATTCGAATCTCGTTCTCATCGATAGGAGTCTCAGCTCTCGGCTTCTCAACTCTCTGGTACCGATCCATCTGCGAACACAGTGAAAAACACAACATCACGAATCGTCAGCGAGACTGACGAAGAGACGAATTCACAGCAACCGGGAACAGGAACAGTGAATCGGGGAAGTGAAAGCAGCTTCTCGGCAAGAGACGAAGCGGGCAGTGATGGAGAATGAGAAGAAGAACCTAGGGTTTGGTTGAGGGGATCTGGGGGAGTCTGTAAATCCGCGTACCTTTGGAAAGATTTTCTCAGCAAGATAAAGTTTGGTCGCCCGAAAAAGAGCCCTCTTCTACGGCTACGTTTCTTCTTTTACGCCCTAAAACCCTCTACCAGGCGCTTCTGCTGCAATTTATACCCTAGCAACTTCTCTCCCTGCGAACGAACTGCCCTAGCCGAAAGAGAGGACAAAAAAAAAAAAAATACTGGGAGCGGGTTGCTCGGGCTTTTCCCGGGCCAAACCCGCCAAATTTGGACTACGAAGTGCGGCCCTAAATAGAGTCATGGAGTGGGCTTCAGCCTGCTTCTCATTGGGCTTTTGCTACAGCCGACATCCTTTCTTTTTACCAGGAAAGAAAAGCCCTGAAGGATGAGATCAATATTGGCTGAAGGAATAGAATGAGTGACCTTGGTGGTTAGTCTATGAGACTATGACTGTCTAGAGAGATGTTTCTTTTACATTAAGAATCGATGGCTTTAAAATCTAAACCTAGATAGTGCAATATGTTTGATTTCTTTTCATCTAAATTGTTATTGATATTAGAACCAGATCAAACATATATTTGTGGTTGAGGGTCATCTCTCGATGCTAAGGTTGAATAGTTACGACAATACCTCCATGTCGATCCCTACTGCATGTGTGCTCATACAGAGTTTAATAAATATTTATGTGAAGATCTCCAAATGGCAAATTGGACAGTTTATAAACATTATATGTTGCAAAATTTTGTATGCAGTTAAAAATCTATTGAGTAAATTGTTACTTTTGTCGGCCGAGCTCAAGTATGCAAATACAAATACATTTCAATATTTATATAAAACCGGCAAAGATGATTCAAGTATATACTATATATAGATAAGAGTTTCCCGAATATGAACAAACAAAGACATGTTTGTGTGTTGAGGAAAATTACAAAGTACAGAGTTTGGCATTTAAACCATAAGCTTCATGCACGTGGCTGTGTTTGTTTGCAGATCCATCTTATTTATTTTCTCTTGGCTGGGGAAAATAATTTTATTTTTGCATTAAGTAATGATGAGGATTGTGCTTTGTAGCATTAATTTGTCCTGCAAAACAAAAGAGAAAGGTTAGGACTGGACATGTGCATTAATACAAATAGGTCCACCATTGAAGACACTCTTTAGGGGATAATGATTATAATAAACCCAACAAGGGTATCGAGTTCACCAGCTTTTTATTTATACATGCTAATGAATAATGATTGCTTCATAATAATCATCCAACGAGGCAAACACACTAGTATCGTGAGATTTGAAGTTTATGATTAGCTTGTATTTTACACAAGTATAATCATACAACGTATTTCAATACCAATAAAGAAAATATTTGAAAAAAATTATCAATTTATCTAAAAAATTTAGCATATATTACCCTATCGAATATCAATAAGTTCTTCCTAATATCAATCGAAACAAGAGGAATTTTACAGCGTTATATAACATTGGTGCTATAGGTTTTTGTTTTTATGATACAACTACAAGTTGTACCTTTAACGTTATAGTACAACTTTTTAAATGGTACATGTACACTTTTGTACAAACATTTTTATAGTACAACTTAAACTTGTACCTTTATGCGATGGTACAACTTTTTTAATGGTACAACCTGAACTTATATATTTAGCGTTATGGTACAACTTCAAACTGTACATTAAAGCACCAATACTTTATAACATAGTAGAAGTACTCTCGAAATCATGCCAAGCGAAACCAAAATATAGCAATCTAATTTTCGTCATTCATTCATATTCTATAGATTCGATACACATTGAACAAAACCATGACTCCTTACAAAATTAAACTTCCTCGCGAGGAAAAATCATACCACATGTCCATAGGCGGAGGGAGTAGGGTTTGTGATGTGTCCTAGGACACCGGTAAGTTTTGGTAAAAAATTAATACATCCCTATATATATTTATGTAAAGGATAAAATATTCAAATTCATCACATTAATATAGTATAAAAAGTATTTTTTACCATTACAATGAAGCTCAAGTTTTGTTATTTGATTGATATAAAATTAATTTATACGCTTTAAATGAAATCTTCCATTGAAATAAATCTCTATTTGTATTCTTTTTTCTCAATTATCCTATTCAATTTTGTCCAAGAACTATGAAATCTAAACATAAGCCTCTGCTACTACTGGGTTCTCCCTTTTCTAGTCCGCTAGTTTCCATTCAATTTTAATTATTAAATAATTATTTATATATTTATATTTTAATAACCGGACACACCTAGTTTTACAAACTGGCTTCGCCACTGCGCATGTCTGAGGCTCTCAGCCTCGTTAATATCGTTGCTTACCTCTGATTAATTGTCCGACGCCATGTTGATCATATAAGTTCATAACGAAAGATGGATGCAGATTAGCACATTATAAATGATCATACCCGACACGGGAGAACATTGATCACGCGCGTTTGACAAGAGCTTTCTGTACGTCTTGTAGTTTTCACTTGTGCAGAACCAGATCCCATGAGCTTAATTAATTCCCAGAAGGAACCAGACAGGTTGTTTCTTTCCCCAAAGTCGGTGCATTATTAATTTTATTTTTTTTTGTTACATTTTGATTTTGTTATATCCAGACTCGACAGTGCTGCATGCATTTCCTGCCAGACGTTAATGAGCTACATTCTATTTTAACCGCAGGTCTAATCTAAATTTCATTTTTTTTATGAAGATCAACACTAAAACTATATCTACGGTTGCCATAGAGTTGTTGGAAGAGATTCAAATATGGATCGCATACCAATTATTAACAGTGGTGTTATTTTTACACGTCAGTTCAAACGCGAAACCCGGCTCGTGAGCATTAAGTTTGTTTAAGCATGATATATTTTATGTTTAAATCAATTGTTAATAGCAGTATCACGAAAAGTCGAACACAATACCTCTTGATGATTACACAAAATTTTTATTGATACCAATAACTCGAGTTATTTGTAGAAGATTAATCTAACCATTAAGGTACGTACGGGGTTTTAACCATTTCATTTGGTATCTGCAAGCAGAGTAACCAACTCTCTTATCAGGGATGACAATTTCGACCTGATCCGTTTTATCCGACCTGTCTGGTCTGTTTTGGTGCGGATTCGACCCGTCCCGTAGGCAGGACAGGGCGGGCATGTGCAGGGGCGGAGCTACAAGGTTTGAAGGAGGTGCCATGGCACACCCTTGATTTAGGGGAACACTTCCAAAACTTAGTTGAGTAAATATTACTCATAATGAAATTTGAACCCCAAATCTCAATGTCAATGGTCAATTTTTTACAATTCAATCCCAACCAATTATATAAATTAATTCTACCTACGAATTTCTATATTAATATAGTCTAATTTATCAAAATGAATAAGAGGATGCAAATTATTAGAGGAAATCATTGAACTTCTTATGCCAACGATAGTCGGAAGAGAAAATTGGTTCTCATCAATATATTTGCTTGTGAAACTTGGTTTAATTTGCTACTACCTTTTGTAAATATACATGTTGATATTATCAACACCAAAAAATACATATCGATATAAAGTTTTCTGCAATGAAACGATTGACCAGCCTTCGGCTTAATTGAAAAATTTGTGAATGATTATTTGGTGGGATAATATTAAGAGCAAATCTTCGTAGTTTGGACAATTATGTAGTTTTAAAATAATTTTATTATATCAAACAAGCGATCGCATCATGAGTTATTGTTCAAAAATTATTTTCATGCACACCCTTACATAAAATTCTGGCTACGCCACTGGGCATGTGTACTCTCATCGACCCGACCTGCCCTGACCCGCCGCATTCTTGATCCGTTCTTGCCTAAATTACTTGTAATCTTAGTCAAATTACTTTGGATTTTCCTTTTATTACATCATATTTTAGCTACACTAAAGTTGTAAATGAGTGAAAACCTCATTTTCTCAAATAATTTAACTACATTTATCATAATATTGTTTGTTTTCTTGGTCTTATAATAAAAATAACGAATATTTCTAATGTTTTTCATATAGATTGCATACTCATTAGGTCGGCATGCTCGACCCATAATAAATTATCCGACCTGCCACGAGGAGGGTCTGTGTACCAAGAAACCCGCCCCAAACTTGTCCATTGACATTCCTATCTCTTATCCATGAATATAATAAAAGTTAGAAGGTATGTACGGTTGCATAAGAGTTATATTAATGTGACAGGTTGGTTGTTTTTGTTTTGCGCACAGTCTTTTTTTTTTTTGTTAAAATCGGAGCGCTTCATGGGCGCCCCAACCCTTATCCATTAATAAAACGAGGAGTTGTCACCCCAATCAAATCAAAGTACAGCCAGTAATTCATGAGGTAACATGGAGTCGGAAACGAATGGACTCCCAAAGAAAAAGTGTGACCGAGGGAAGCTAGATAGTCAACTACAAAGTTTGCTTCCCTAAAAATATGCTCAATACTGACTTGCCATGTCAAAGATATCAAGCATTTAATCTCCCTCACAACAACAAAATGTGGGTGGTTTGGTTGAGCTGCTCACAGTCATTCTTTGATTGGTCAATTGCTAATTATTATTTTTTATTTATGATTTTGGAAAACCATGATGAGAGTTTGAGTTTTATTAAAATGACTTCCTGTAATTTCCCCCTCTTACTTACACAACAAAAAGTGGGAAAATGTCGTTGGTTACTCCAACCAGAATATCAATTTATGTTAACAAAAATAAAAAATTGTAAAATCATATCGAAGGTCATACCGGAAAAGTTAGCATTAGCGTATTTTGTGCTAAAATCATAACTCAACCGTAGTTAAATCAGGCTTGACATGTTGCTCCAAACCGAGCCTCGATTTATGTTCAAAAAAACCAAAAATTGTAAAACAATAACCTAAAGTTCGTACCGAAAAAGTTAGCATAAGAGTATTTTGTACTAAAGTCGCAGTTCATTTTTGGTTAAAATCAAGCTTGACACGTTGTTCCAACCCGAGCCTCGATTTATGTTAAAAAAAACAAAAATTGTAAAATCATATCAAGGTCGTACCGATAAAGTTAATTTTGGGGTATTTTCTGCTAAAATCTTAGTTTAATCATGGTTAAATTAGATCGAACCCGAGCCTCGATGCATGTTTAGGGGGAAAAAAAGATGTAAAATCATACCGAAGGTCATTACCGGTAAATTTATTATTAGGGTAGTTTGGACTAAAATCGCAGTTGAATCAGGCTTGACACGTTGCTCAAACCCGAGCCTCGATGCATGTTAAGAAAAAACCAAAAATTGTAGAACCACACCGAAGGTCGTACCAGAAAAGTTAGCATTAGATAATTTTGTGCTAAAATCATAGTTCAGCCGTGGTTAAATAATTTTATACAGCTAAAATCACTTACCGATTTAGATTCTGTTGTGAGTTTTTCTATTGGACCGCCAATACGGTACAATGGTAGTTCAATCGTGGTTAAATCATTATATACAACTAAAATCATCTAACGATTTAAATTCCATTAGAAAATTTTCTATTATACTGCTGCTAATAACACAATAAAAATTAAATACGGGTTAGCAAACTATACTTCTAATCCTATAAGAAGCCACAACAAAGCGCGGCACAGAAGTTACCTAATATATATAAAAAAAAAATAGCATTCACTATCAATATTTCATTAGAAAGGATGAGACAAGAGATTGGATTGCATCTGCGACCGTCCTCGATACCGAATTTGTCCATTCCTCTGCATTCTCAGCTCCTAAACGTTGTCGGATGATTGGTCCAGTCCACGGTCTAGCATGTGCTTTTGGTCCATCACAATCAACTCTCATCAGTTTTATCGACTAGAAAATACATATGCACACCAACCGCCTTTATAACTCCAAACAGATACCGTGCTATTGCTAACTAGCTAGGGTTGGGGATGAAATTTTCATGTATCTTCGTAACTAAGAAACTCATTTCTGTTGCATTGGGTTGGGGCATGCCAGCTTTCTTAAATATTTTGTATTTGAAAAGTGGTGAGTAATTTGTTGAAAAATCCGTCTTCAACAAAGTTTAATCTTCATAGATATCCGACAAACCCTGAGAGTATTTAATGCGAGTTTTATAGTCCTATCAGTGGCCATCAAATAGGTAAAGCAGAAGTAGCGGCTACTAAAGATCGAATCCAAAACTTCTTGAGCACAAATCTGCGCTTTTATACAATCACTTATCCATAAAAGAAATTTCAACAGAAACGATGATGATATACCTCTTTATCTTTAAGTTCATCCTAATTTCACAAATAAAAATTGGGTTCAAGTTATTGGGACCCTTTTGTGCATACACTCCGCTGTCTTTAGTACCTTCGGTGATTCCTATACCTATCATGTTCCTTAGATTATTACAAAGCGTTATTTAACCTCGCTTCTCCTTTGGTCACCTTAACGCAGTGGCAGAGCCATGGGTTATTGGGGGTGTCCCGGGACACCCCTAATTTTTGGGATGAAGATTATCCAACCCCCTGTAGTAGTTTTCGCGTGGATAAAAAATATAAGTGGTAGACTAGGTGATTTAAATTAGGATATTAAGATTATTAGTAAACATGTTTTTCATTAGACCACAACTTATTTGTTATTGTATTTTAAACACTAGTTTAATAGTAAAAATAATATTCCTTCTCCCAATTAATTTGAAAATCTAACAATTGAACCTGATTACGGGTTATCCTTATTCCCTCCATTCTATCATATCCATGGGTTGACTTGCTTCTCAAAGTAATTGATTTTACCGATTGCAACTGCAGGTGTTGAAATAACATATTTAGTTTTGGGAAACTTTCAGAACAAGTTTCGAAATTGATTAAATGATCAGTTTGTGAATGATTGTATAGTAAGATGAAGATATTTGTTGAGCCGTCCAGACACTGAATATATTTTGTAACACGCCGTAGACTTTTGTTGTAACTTGTATTAGTTAGATATTTTCTAATTTAAAATTATTTATTTAATTTTTGAAAGAGGACACCCCTATATGAATTTCCTGACTCCGCCACTGGACAGAGAGCCATTTTAAAAACAAAAAGGTTATAACTCACTCACAACTTTCAAATGTTCGTAAAGATACATATATAAAATTTGAAAAAAATAGTATACATAATAAATCTTTAGCCTTAGCTTTAGAATAATCATGATTCAAATCGCTTCAACTTAAATTTTATATCCACCACTTCATTCGGACTTACGACTCCACCGCTCGTATAGCAATGGCAAACATCTAAAAATCTTAGCCCATGTTGTAGTTCAGATCATACAAACTAAGGATAACGTAGTACCAACTCATATCACCTCACCGGCTGGCTGTTGTTCTTTCTTCTGCGTCAACAATTAACCAAATACTCAGAGGATCATGTGAGTTCGAGTAGCCCACAGAATATATATATATATATATAACAGGGAACAAAGAAAACGTCAAATAAAGGCAAATGGCCATGTGGTTCAAGGTAAGGCCAGTCGATTGGCCAGGAAATGATCCTCATATCATATTCCTTTCCTCCAACTATACTTAATGCAATTCAATCAGAATTCATTAATGACAACCTAATGTACGATAGTTGTACAACTAAGTCTCTGAATCGATCAAGTTAACTCAAAGATTTGAATCTGTGACTCAAAGAGTTTGACCTGTATTTTTTTAAAGATCACTAATGAAGTCATTTATAATGTCAATTTCAGCATGAAAAAAAAAAAGTTAATATAACAAACAAAAGCGACAATCTTTCTGTGTGACCAAAGATCGTAGTAATAATGATTAAGATGGGGATTAAAGGGCTCACCTGGTCGACATCAGAGATATTCAGTTCGTTGGGGGTGGGGAGGGATGTGATAATGCGAATGGTGGCTCTCTCTCGAACTATTTGGAAAGTCATGAAACTGAGTCTTGTTTGATTTTACGCGATTTACTTTTCGTGCATTAATGAAAAAGAAAATAAAAACAGAACTCACTGTCATTGCCATACGAATCAAAATTGTTGGGAAATGAAAAAAAAAATGAAATCAATGGGTGGTGGGGATTTGAAGTTTTCACGGCTTTCATGTTGAGATGAGGGAAAAGCATGTGAGTTTGGAATGGGAAATGGCGGTGTTTGTGTCATTGTATGAGAGAGAGAACGTGCAAATAATTGATTTATGAATTTATTTCATAGATGGATCAATCTCATTGCCAGAGATAAAAATTCAGAAAATATTAATCATATAAAAAAACCCATTATTAGAAAATTAATAATTATAAATAGAAATTCCCCACAAACCCAACTTGCCTGCATGCTACTTCCAATCAACCACACTGCCACTGCCCATTTTTTTCAGACCTTGCCATGTGAGTTTGTTCTTATTGAGTTAATGTTTTTGTAGCAATTAAAAGCAAAAAAAATAAGAGTCTACCCAAAACTTTCCCTTATTTATATGGTTCTTCCCTTCTCTGGATCAGCCAACCAGTTTGTAAATACCAAACCTCAAAGCAACCTCTGATTCCTTCTCTCACTCTCTCTTCCTCTGCTGCTGAACCAAAGCCCAACTGAAGAATGGCAAAGCAGCAGCTGGCCATGGCCATGGCTATGGCGTTTCCTCTTCTATGGGCTCTACTCTGCATCTCTCTGGCTCCCACTGTCGCCAATGCCTTCACTGCTTCCGCTTGGACCAAAGGCCACGCCACTTTCTACGGCGGTGGCGATGCCTCCGGGACTATGGGTAAGTTAAAAAAGATCGAATCTTTCGTGCGAATTTCATCACGTGATTTTATTTGTAGTCTTATCTGTGTTTGTACATAAAAAGTTGTTACGATAAAATGTCATGTGTCCCAATATCTCTGCGACATGTTAATCTAGTTACTTGACAAGTTTTTATTGGTATATGTTTAAACCATAGAAATAATATAAAATTTTTAATGATATATAATTGTATACAAAATACATTTATTTGCAAATTTATGTCATCTTTGCCTAAAAATGAATATGTGAATGTTGGATTCCATCATTCATTACTTTTCATACTTGTTGAGTCTTTGGGCTGATAGGTATATAGTCTTAGTAATTTATAATTAGGATGGTTTCACTTTTAATTTATTTTACCATTTTTCATCATAAACAAACATCATGTGATTGAGGAATTTGTCAATCTTTCTCAAATTTCTTCTTCAATTTGGCAGGAGGTGCATGTGGGTATGGCAACCTATACTCTAGTGGGTATGGCACAAGGACTGCTGCCCTAAGCACGGCTTTGTTCAACGATGGTGCCTCATGTGGAGAGTGTTACAAGATCATATGTGACTATAATACAGACCCTAGATGGTGCATTAAGGGCAGGTCGATAACGATCACCGCAACGAACTTCTGCCCTCCGAATTTCGCTCAGGCCAACGACGCTGGTGGTTGGTGCAACCCGCCATTGAAGCACTTCGACATGGCTCAACCGGCGTGGGAGAAGATCGGGATCTACAGAGGTGGAATCATCCCTGTTATGTACCAAAGGTAGGGGAAGGAGGAGAATGGGAAAATTTCGATTTGGTACTTAAGCTTTTATTATCTTCATAATTTGGTCACTTTTATTTGGAACTCATTTTGTGTTTCATGTTTAGGGTGCCATGTAAGAAGCATGGTGGAGTGAGGTTCCAAGTCAATGGGAGGGACTATTTCGAGCTGGTGACCATCACCAACGTGGCGGGAGCTGGATCGATTAAGTCGGTTTCCATCAAGGGTTCGAAGACAGGGTGGCTGCCCATGTCGAGGAATTGGGGGGCAAACTGGCAGTCGAATTCGTACCTTAATGGACAATCCATGTCTTTCCAAATCACGACTACCGATGGGGAGATGCGAACGTTCAACGATATCGTACCGGCTAATTGGGGGTTCGGCCAAACTTTCTCGAGTAGACTACAGTTCTAAAAACGTGAAGGCTCGGAATAGTATTGATTCGATCTAAGAACTCATAAGGGTTTTTCCAGAAAATTTCTTTATAGTTTAATTTTGGCTGAGGCGTTGCTTATACTTTTACAAGGAGCTGCCCGCCTTGCGACTATGAGTCCATGCGCTTTTGCGAGTGACTTTAACGTCGTAATACGTGAACCCAATGAAATTTCCGTTGAAGAGAAATTGTGGGTAGGGATTTGGTTGGAGCAGATTGATGAAAAGTTACAATAAGGGCATTGGAATTGCAGAGTTTGCAAGTTAGGTTGTAATTTGTATTTTCCTTTTTTACATGATATGAAACGGTTTCTAGCTTTGTTTCTACTTTTTTCATTGGTTTTGTTGTCTTTCTGGTTCTATTATTTGAGGTAATTGTATTGATGAAATTGAAATGTTCATTTAATAATTGATTATCCCAGCTACTCCTGAAGCCAATGAATGAAAGTTTGATGCACTTCAGTAATGTTAGCTGTTTTAAAAAAAATTGGATTGTATTTAGAGTTTCGATTTTAAAATAATTTCCAATCAACTCATCTATATTCTATGTGTATCTCAACAATATTATATAAATGAAGATAAAACAACACTTATATCAATTAGTTCTCACCATCTAAAACCCGGTCTTAAGAACCAAGTACATCAGAGAGTACAAAATTGATTCCACAAATCTACTCCTGGTCATAAGCCGTATTACAAGCCGCAGGAAAATACTCAACTTTGGGTGGTGAATTTGTTTTTAACTCATATATTTCATGGAAAAGGTTGTTGCACATAAACGAAAAAAGGGAAATTCATGGAAAAGGTTGTGAGAACGAGGGGAAGGTCGGAAGGAAGTGGCCGAGGATTTGTTGGGCTAATACTATACGGAATGGTAACTCACTGGGCCTGGAAATATGATGGTGTGGGCAGCTGGGCTCGACTAAGTCAGCCTTATCCAGATGAGAGAAAACGAGTTACCTGATTTGGACCTTTGTGAGGATGGACGAATCCAAGAGGCTATAGGGTCTAACGCTCAGTAACCCTTACTTACTAACTAACTAGCGTGGTCCGGCCATTTGGTTGGAGGGAGGTGATTAGGGGTGATAATCGGTTGGCGGTTATCCGGTTTGACCGACCACCGAACCGAAACCGGAGGTTATTCACCGAAACCGACAACCGAAAACTGCTGGCGGTGTCGGCGTCGGTTGGGAGAATTGGGGGATTTAGCTAACCGGGCGGTCTTCGGTTGCTAACCGTGAAACCGACGGTGCACCGCAAAAACCGTCAAAACACAACGCAAAGCCAATCCGTCGATTCCATATCCAAATCCCATGACCTAACTTCCTCCATCCCTGCCTCCTCCATTCCCTTCCAGATTTCCGCCTCCTGCTGCAACCAGCTTCCATCCTCGTGCCGGACGACATTGTCTTCTCGTCTAGTCGTCATCTCTTCCTCCCGCCGGCGTCCCGTCGGCGTCCCGTCGAGTTGCTTTTTGTTATCGCCCAGTCGACCTCTTCTTCACATCCAGTCGTTGTCTCATCCTCACGCCGTCGTCAGCCCGTCGTCCTTGTCAGAAACAGAGATTCGTCGTCATTCCTTAAGCTGCCGCTGACGAGTCTCTCCGTAAAGCTAGCTGCTACCGGTTATCGGCTAACCGCCTCACCGAACCGACGCTGGCGGTTGCGGTTTTCGGCTAACCGCCGGAGCTACGGTTGCGGTTGCGGTTGTTGAATTCTGCTCTTCATCATCCTCGGCTAACCGACTTGGCGGTGCGGTTAAAACCGAAACCGCACCGTTAACAGCCCTAGAGGTGATGTATGAAATTTGATAATATAATGGGTTGTATAGCTTATTATTTATAGTTTTTTTTTTGGGAAATACGTGATAAAATAGTGAATTCTAGTAGGAAAGAGACATGAATGATGCAACGAATAAAAAATCAGCTTTATGAACCAAAATCAAGTACCCGTTACCTTGTGAAACAATAATGTTTCTGGTAATATGATGAGGTGGAGTAAGTTTTATAGAAACTAAATTCCAGAAAATCGAATAAAAAATCGCCTATCCCGCCAATTTTCGGGAAATGAGCATCTCACAATCGTTGCTAGCTTTTACTCGGCCCGTTGGCCGATTAATTTGCTTTATAAAACTTTCATCTTGTCATCATTGTGCTTTCTGGTTTTTTGACAATCCATGATAAAATCTAAAGAAATCAAGAATGAACAACACGATTTGGGATAGGAACCACCGTTCCTGTATCCCTAGAAAATGGTGGTAAACACGGACTCATCAGCCAAACTGGTTTGGATTGAGATTTTATCGGGTATCAGGGAACCATGTGATTATAAATTAGACTTGATCAAAACGGGCCGAAACTTGAAATTCAGCATGTTTAACCGACCCATGCCAAACTCTAATTATTCTTTACTTTTAAACTTTCTATTTGAAAATTAAAAAAAATAATGAAAGAAGAGATGACTGCAATTCGCCATTTGCACATCGCTGATTCGGGAATAAAACTATAGAATTTCGAAAGGAAACTGAAAATGTTTAGGATCGTTTTAATGTTATAAATAACCAAATAGATCTTTCTATTTAGTTTTTTACTAACAAATACCAAACGATTCCCTATAATACACACTATAATTTAATCATTATGATATCAAATAATTACATAATATATATTTGAAATGATAAAAATTGGACTAATTGGGTTGGTTGAGGTTGAACCATTATATAACTTTAAAATACATTATATTTTAGCCACTAAGATATAAAATAATAGCATAATATATATTATGCTAGAGAAAATAGCTTGTTTTAGAGTGGCAAACCCATGATGTTCATTTGTTTTACTTGATGGGCAAATCCCGTGTAGGTCAGGCCCATTCAACTCTTCTATTTTATGATTAGCGGTTAGCTTATTAGAATCCATGCATTAGTTTATTGTTATTTTTTTTTCTTTTTAGCAATAAAAACTAAAAAGGAGTATTGTTTTTGTTTTTTCATATATATATTTTACCACTACGGAGAAATAAAAGGACTTAAAGAAAAAAATTGACACTTCTGGACCCGTTTAAATCTGCATGTGTACGTTAAGTTGGCCCATTCCACAGAGGAAAAAGAAAAAAATTGACACTCCCTACTCTGCCTTCCTACAAACGCTCATGGAGCAGGGAATTTGAAATGGGGAAAGGGTTTTTTCCTCTCTGCGATTATATGTTTTTAATTTAAAAAGATACAACAAATGTACTTAGTGTGATTGGTTATGGTCTTTGCTTTTCTTTAAAGTGGTCATGGTTCGAATCCTAGTAAGTGTCTTTTTAATGAATAAAAAAAAAGAAATTGTGAAGATCAAAACGTCCTTCCTACTTTTACTCTGGATGCAGGAAATTTGAAATGGGGCTTTAAGTTTTCTCATTTGGCTTTTATTTATTGTGTAGATAGATGAGTAACCAAATCTCAGTTATAAGATTTAAGTGAGCTCAGAAAATTCAGATTTAAAAATGAAGAATTAAAAATATTTTTATTTTTTCTTGTTTTCTTAACTGATTCATATCTTCTTCGTTTTAACTCGAATTTCAATTTTTTTTGCACAGATGGAACGAATTCGTTGTGCTCTACAAAATGAGATCCATTTTCAATATTTTTTGAGAAAAATTGCTTGTCTCTCATTACCAACTGCATACCATATGGTATCTTATTCATTTTCAAGTCGTTTTTTAAAATTTTTGCACAGAATGAACGAGTTCATCATGACTTATTGGATCTACAAATTTCTGAGTGAACAAAATACAGTACCAAAATATACCACCCAATACCACCCTGGTATGGGGTGGTATCTTGTGGTACACAATGTTGAAAGTCGTAAATGACAATTAGTATACTCCTACTATCATGTATTCAATCATCCTACAGTCTTGGTATGTTCATACCACCATGGTAAGTTTTGTCATACCATATGGTATGCGCTTATTTAATATCAGTCAATACCATATAGTATATATACTGGTAGGGATGGGAATTGGGTGGGCTCGGCGGATTTTGACAATAAAACGCACCCAACCGCGCTTAAACGGATTGACAATCTTAATCCACCACCCACCCACATTTAGTCTTGGGTTGGGTCGAGCGGATGGTGGATGATGCGGGTGGGTTTGCGAGTCACCCACATCCCAATGTACATAATATAAAGGAGTCAACTTGACATGATAATCGGTAGAGAGAGTTATCGAGTGGAAACAACAAGATGAAATAGGTAGGAAAATGTCGAATTAGTTCTGAAATTGGATATAAATTCTATTATGAAGGAGTTTTCTACGAATGGAGATGATTATCATGTGCAAGGAACTAAGTAAAATATTTCAACGAAGGAAAGAGAGGTGACTAGGCATAGGAATCAGAGGGGAAATAAAGTGAAGAAGAGTGGCTCATGAATTGGAATATTGGCATTGAGGTTCAATCTCAAAGAACAGCTCTAGTTTCCGTCTAACGTCTCTACTCTCCAGTCACTAGCGCCTAAAACTTTGTTCTTTTTATTGTTGGGTTGAGCGGGTCACCCGCACACCCGTCCACAACCCATCCGTCACCCGACGGATGACTCCTAGCGCAACCCGTCACCCATCCACAAACCCACCCACATAATGAAATTCGGGTCAAATGTGGGCAGGTCGGCCCAAACCTGTGGGTGATCCGCCTGCATGCCCTGCCCTATATACTGGTACAAAATGGTTCATTTTTTTTTGTTCCAAAAATATATCAAAGTGGATATCATTTTGAAGAACACAATTAATCAAATCTAACGGTGGAAAAAAAATCTGACTGAAAATGAGTGAGAAATCGTCTGTTACAAATTAAGGGGGGAAATTTACAGGCTTTGCAGAAGAGAAAAGGGGCGCTGATGTGACGGTTGGTGATTGAGTTATGCATAGTTACTCACCACAAGGTTATGCATAAGAACTGCTCTGAGGGGCTAAGATCAGGTGGTGACTAAGTGAATCTCATTTATTGAATGTCATTTAAATTTAATGGCTCCAATTAATCTGATTCAATGAAAGGCAATATGGTCATTGCATATTGTTTTAATTTTCAATTATTAATTTTAGAAAAATCCTTCCCTCTAGCGCCTTTTCGCGAGCATCACTCAGCAGCAAGATTCTTCGGCATGTATTCCCGACGGCGACAGAAGGTTCCTAGTCTCGCGCTACCCTTCCAGCGTCCCACACGTCCCTTAGGGAATTTTCCTAGGGAATGGTTGCTTCTCCCCATTTCACACACCCACAGAGAGAGAGAGAGTTGATTTTTCGGCTGCGAGAATTTTTCGGTGTCAGCGGTGGAGATTTTCCAACGATTGGGATTTTCGGCGGCAGCGGCAACTTTGTGATATTTGTCAGACCATTTTGTAATGTTTATAAGTCTATTTTGTAATGTTCGTAGCGATTCT